AATTTAATAAACAGTCTAAATAAAATACTCAATAAAATAAAACTAAATGGACAATGCCTTTACATGAGAAAATATAAGCATATGGCCTTGTGGAGTCCACATTGGGCGTGCGAGACATTAAAAAGCATTCCTCCGGAAGGATAGAATAAGACATCTTGCCCAAGAGCATCAAAATGGCCTTCCATTGATTGTGCCAATCTATGGTTCACTCTTCAGCCTCTTCATGTTTTAGCTCAAAATTTACCTGAGTTCTCACCAAGGACCACCCTTATCAACCCATCTAAACTGCAACCTGCTCATATTTTGGTATATTCCAATGCTGTTAACCTACTCTGGTTTTTTGCCTGTCGCTTGTTATATTCTCCATATTATAAATTTCACTTATTTATTGTGCTAATTGTATTTTGTATATTTCCTACAGTGCATTAGAAGTGTTAAGACATCAATTCTGTGTCTTCCATTCTAAAGCCTAGAACAGGGGCTTGTCAATAATAAGTTAATAAATATTGTTAAATGACAAATAAAATAGAAATTAAATTGGAAGCATAAACTTTGACAAGAATACAAAACCAACATTTTTCTAAGTAATATAATCTTGAAAAATTAAAGTCAACTAGAAATCTGTCACAAATAAGAGAATTCAATAACATTATGTACTAAATTGATATATAAACATCTACTATAGTAGATTCACATTATATATAAATATATATCCTATGTAATAATTAGAGTATTTAAAAGAAGAAATTATTGCATTTATAATATTAACAAGAACCCTAGGAATAATTTAACAGGAAATGTATAAGCCCTAAAAAGAAAAGCATAAAGCATGACTGAGGAGCTTGCCTTGAACAAATCAAAACACATATTGTGCTCTAGATAGGAAAATCCAACATTTTAAAGATGCCAGATATTTCTAATTAATTTTTAAATGGAATATACTTCTTAAAAGTATTAACAGGTTTATTTTTAACAAAAGAACTTAATTCTATAGTTTATAAACAAGGAAAACAGTGAAAACAGCAATGAGGTGAGAAAAGCCTGACATATAAAAATGCATTACTAAACCTCAATAATTAAAACAGTGCAGAGTCACTGCAACAGATGAATGATGATCTGGTTCTGTGAATAGAACCATTTAGAAATTTAGCAAAATTTTAAAAAACATTATGGCAAAATTTAAAAAATGCAATGGTGAGATATTTGCAATTCATCACAAATGGCTGATTTCCTAACATATAACTAAACTACCTTCCAGAAAACAGTATGAGGAAGACAAAAATCCAAAGAGAAATTTAAGTAAAGAACATGAAAAGAAAATCTACATAAAAAAACTATAAGTCACTCTTAAACAAATGACAAGGTACTCAACCTCAGTCATAAGAAAAATGCAAATTTAATTACACTGATACCATTTTTATTCCTCATCAGATTGGCAAAAACCCAAAAATTTAATTAGCAGTCTTGGTTGTAAATCTGGAGGCATGTTGATCCACCACTGGTGGTAATGCAAATAAGTACAACCTCCATGCAAGGCAATTTGGCTGCATTTATCAAAATTACAAATGCTAATACCTTTTGACCAGCAATTCTGTTTGGGGAAGTTTATTCTGATATTTGCGCACAGGTACAAAGTCACACATGTACAAGCCTCTCATTATAATATGACTTATGATAGCTACAAAACTTTAGAAAAAACCCTGCCCATCAATGGGGAACTGGTCAAATAAATTATAGTGCTTCTATATAATAGAAACCATATTAAAAAAATTTAAAAGACCTGTAATATTTAACATGAAAATATCTCTAAGATCTTTGTGCAAAATAGTAAATGTGCTATATAGCCTTTGTGAACAAGTGAGAAAATAGTATTGCTTATTCAAATTAACATGTATGCAAGAACTCTAGAAGGATATGCATCTCTCAAGAAAGATATGTGGGAAACTAGTAAAATAATGGTGGGAACTGAGTGGATAGAGTGGTAGGCATACTACCATTAGGAATGGTAAGCATACTTCTTACTATATACCTTAAAAATAACTTTGCATCTTTAATTATATGCATATATTATCCCCTGCAAAGTTAGAAATGCTATTTTAATGCCAGTAGATCCATTATGCATAACAAGCAGTATATTAACTGCTCCAACACCACGAAGGTGAGCATCTCAACACAAACATTTTCAGAGTCAGTAATAGTTTAACAGTTCTGGAGGTTATTATTAGAAACTAGATTAAGCATGGGAACATCTCCCACGTTAACCTGAAGCAGAAGACTAAAATATTCTAATTTCTCCTTATCAATAGTAAGCTGCTCTCAAATTTTCCTTCTTAGGCTCATCATTTAAACTGTTTCCCTTATGCTGTGGTTCTCTTTTGCAGGATGTTTACAAACTCAGACTTTGGAGATCATTGAATCCTGGACCATTTATTGTCTGCATGAACTTAGACTAAGGGCCTTAACTCACTCATGTGCAAACCAGAGATCATACAAAGCTTATAGATTTGTTGTGAGGATTTAGTGAGTTATTGTATATAAAAACCTTGGCCTGGCTCATGGTATAAAAGTTATAGAAACATTGAAGTTATCTACTACTGATGCACTGACTCTGAAGACATCCTAGTGGCTCCAGTTTTCTCTGGGCTCTGAACTCTGGTGTGTAGTGATGAAAACTCTGGTCGCTAATCTTCACAAAAGGTCTAGGGTAGAATATCACTTCCACTCAGTGCCTTTACTACCAAGGCACTCAATCAAATATTTATGCTGATTTCCTACCTCTGAATTAAAATTCCTCTGAGTAAATACATTGAGTTTCTATTTAATAATTCACTCTTTAATTCAAATGTAATATTCATTGTGCATCAAAACGTCACCCATATTTTTAGCACCTTCATACTCTAAGCTTACCAACATTTTGGATTATGAAATGTAATTTGCCTCAGTACATACTGAGAATTAACTCCTGGTGTCTCTCAATCATTGGAATAAAGATATTTTAAGTGATTTATTATATTTATGTGATAAACATCTGAACTGTAAAAGTCACTCTTTTCAATGTCAGTAATTCACACAATTAACAATAAAATTAATATTACCTGAATGTGAGGAGTAAACCACTCTGAGAACCACGTATGAGACTGTGGGGGAGGAAATGTGGCATCCACATAAAATTCTCTAGCCTTAGAGAAGATCAGAGTTAGGACCGACTATCAGAAAATTATATGGATATGCATAAAGAGAAAAAAAAAGAAAATTGTATGGACCACAATGGGCCCACAATTGGGCGCTGACAAGTATTTTTGTCCATAAATTTCTTCTCTCTAAATTCCCTCAGCATATATACAACCAGAAATTATCAAGCAAAAATTTTTTAAAAACTGTAAATTTTGCTTAATTCTTAGGATATAAGCCAGAAATTCTTAATTTAAGAACAAAAAATTTCATTTTAATGATGCAATAATGTGACTCAAAGAAAAACTGAGGCTACTTTTGTTATTAAATAGGTGCTCAATGTGTATGCTATAGAGCAAACATTGACTTATGTCCATTGGTGATATAGAAAAAGAAGTGAACCGTGAGATAGAGTGAAGCCCACTGAACAAATTGAAGCATTTAAAATAATTACAATGTAAATATTAGGCAAGGAGAGTTCAGGGAAAAGTGACCACAGAAACTATTTCACATTTTGATTAAACCTGAACTGATGTAACAGCTCAATAGCCAAAAATGGCGGCTGAGATAATTTCAAATGAAGGGACTAGTATGAGGAAAGGCAAGAAGAAAATGGCAGAGCCTGTGTGTAAAACTAAATGTGTGGACTATGGTACAAAATAGCAGTGGAGAATCAAACATTAATTAGCAACAACCCGAGGCTGAGAAATTTAAATCTTTTTATTCAGAAGCCCTGGAAAGTTATAAAAAATACTCAGATGAAAGGGGAAATTTTATACAAGCTTGTGTAGAAAAATAACACTAGTAACTGAGTAAAATGTAGGTCTGGGTTCTAGGGGAAGGCAGGAGAATGGTCTGGTAGTCCAGGCAAGTTTATGAGTCTGAATTAGGTTTTGTGAGAAAGAAAGGAAGAAATGAATCAACTAGAGAGAGACTAGTAGTAACTGGAAGCATTTTTGAATGTTTGCTCTGTGACAACTTTTGAATTTCATCAGTTAATCACCTCAGCTACCCAAAGGTCAGTAACTAGTCCTTCCCTATACAGAAAGTCGATTCGCTTAGTCAGGGTGACATGGTCTAAGTAGCAGTGCTGGATCATGAAAGCTCCGTCTTTTTTAAATTTGTTTTGTAATACTGGAGTTTGAACTCAGGTCTTCACCCTTGCCAGGCAGGTGCTCTGCCACTTGAGGTACTCTGCCAGCCCTTTTCATTGTGATTATTTTGAAGATAGGGTCTCACTTTTTGCTAAGGCCAGCCTGGACTATCATATTTTAATCTTCCCACCATAGCTGGGATAACAGGCATGTACCACTACACCCAGCTTTTTTTCAGTTGAGATGGGGTCTTGCAGACTTCCTTTTTTCCTTTTGGCCTGCATTGATCTAAAACCATGATCCTCCTGATCTCAGCCTCCCAAGTAGCTAAGATCACAGGCGTGAGTCACCAGTGTCCGAGTAAATCTCATCCTTTAGTCTCCAGAACTCTCATATATTAAGGTCATTATACTAAACATGAAGGAGAAAATTGGAACCAAAAAATAAGACTGAGTTTTCAAGCTTAAGTGAATGTGAAAATAACAGTATCAATTAAAAGGAAGCATGAACTATTAGAAGGAAGAGTTGGGCCCAAAAGATTATACTCAAATCTCACCCCTATCTAACCAACCCTGCCTCCTAAAAGTATTAAGTGTTTCCACATTCTCTGAAGAACTGATAAGAACATTATCTGAATACTATGTTCCTTATATTGGTCCTTTTTTAGTCTTTACATATTTGATGAATTCTGTGATAAGCTAGTTCCATCTTCCTGAATTTCTCTTGCTGTATCAGGTGAGAAGTTTCCAGACAAGGATCCTAAGGTGCAGTTGCAGATTTCTTATGAGGACACCAAACTGACCATCTTGGTGAAGCACTTGAAGAACATTGTAAGTTTGTTATGTATAATAAGAAACATTTAAACCTCCATTTCCAAAGCACTTGCCCACTTTGGGCAATTAGTGTCACCATTAGTAAAAGGAATAGGTCTAGCAGCCAAGTCCAAATGAAGATCAACAAGCCAATTACAACGCTTTTGTCTCAGTATGGTTGTGATCCTTAGGGAAACACCGTAAAATATTTCAGCAGGGAAAGTCCTATGATAAAAATTGGATTTTATTCAAAGCGAAGTGTCAAGTAAAAGCTGTGAGTAGACTCTGAGACAGCAGAAATTGCTGCAGGATTAAGGGCTAATAGAAAAATGTCTGGGTCCAGAAGATGTCTGTGTATTTCACACTGCTGAGCTTGGTGGAGCATTGTCTCTTTGCATGGTGACAATACCTTTGGCTCTCTTCTTCTTAAACCTTCTCTTCTTCATAAATCTCTCAGGACATGTTTGGGAGGATCTAAAGGAGCAAACTCTTCTCTACATGACCTATATCTGGTACATACTAAAACCTAACAATTATTTGCTCAGCGAAAAATAGCTGTCATCATTTGCAGGGGGACATCAGTTACAAACTTAGTATTAGCCAGACACCCAAGGGTGCTTGTTGTTAAATCTGCTGTAGTCACAGTGAGCAATTTTTGTAAAATCAGAAAATATTTTTAAATTTTTGTTGATCTTTTAGTCATTAAGGTAATTATCTTCTGTTGCTTTTGACGTGATAATCATCTTAAATGAAAAAGCACTTGTTTAAGAAATTCTTATACTGGAAAATGAAGATTCAGTCATATGTGATTTATGACACATACATGATCATAGATTTTAAGCATGTGTGTAAACATGGGATAAAACAATACCATATTACAAAACACTGTTAACTTAAAAGAACTTATACATGTGTATAATCTATGATTATTGACATTGAAAATGGCCCTCTTGGAAACCGTGTATTTGTTTCAATAATGTTGTCTTTATGGAAATATTTTAGTAATGTTGAAATTGCTTACAGATCTGCCATAAAAACCATCATAAACTTGGTGATATTATTCCATGGTCATGCCTAATTTTTGATCAAAAGCAATATTAACCAACTAGGTCACCCATTTTATTCACCAGATGAATTCTCAAATTACTTTTGACAGTTTCCAAAAATGCATTTTACACTCAGATGAATTTACAGAACCAATGGAAATGTTCAAAGCAAATGCAACACAGGCCTGGGAGCTGGCAGCGAGTGAGAGAGAAAGAGTGTAAGATTGAGATAAAGTTATGTGTGAATGAAAAATGACTAGATAAATCCTAGGGAAAGCTAAAAACATAACCACTAGAGCCTTAAGTGTGCCTGCCTCAATGACTCCTTTGTTCCTCCTTGAATATGGCAGGTATGTTGGTGCCTCAGAAAGAAAGCTACTAACAATAGCAACACTTTTTTCAGTCTACCTTCTGGGTCCTTTCTTCTCCCATCTCTTACCATTGAGAGACTCCAGAACTCTGGATTTCAGTTCTAGACCTCTTCTCTTTTTCTACCTCTAGCTTCATGGCTTCAAAATTCACCAACATGACATTTTCTACCCTATTTACAGCTCCAGCTCAAAATTTGCCCTCAAAATTCACACATCTGATTACAGCTCTAGTTAGAAATTCAATAGGCACCTCAAATTTAATATTCACCAAAACAAACTGATAACTGCCTCCCTCCCTAACCTTGCTTCCTTCCCAATCTTTCTCATAGCATTTTCTGCCTTCTCATTGCTCAGATTAAAATCTTTTGAGTCATTTTGACCCCTTTTTCTCCCACAAACTACACCTGCTTTATCCACAAATTCTATCAGTGTGCTTTCAAAATACACCCAGAATCCCATGACTCTCCAACCCCGTGGTTGGTTCAAGCTGCCATCATCCCTTACCTGAATTGCTACTGTAGCAATTGTAACAGGTCTTCCTGTTTCTGCCCTTTTTTCTTTATAATCTCTTCCTAGCTAGCAGCTGGAATATTCCTTGGAGAATAAAATTGAGATCCCATAATTACTATCTTCACATCTCTTTGAGGGAGAAGTTTCATATTACTTACTTGCTAATGACTTACGAAGCTATACCATTCTGGTCCCTTGAGGTCTCTAACCTCATCTTCTACCTCAGACTCTCAGTCACTCCATGCCTGCCTCAATGACTCCTTTGTTCCTCCTTGAATATGGCAGGTATGTTGGTGCCTCAGGGCCTTTGTATCTGCTTTCTATCTCAATATTCTCTGTGACTCAATCTCATGTGCCCTGAATGATTGTCTCCTTTTCTATGAACCTACCTAACTCTCGTGTAAAATTGCACAACAACCCTCATTGTTGTCACTTCAAATATTTCTTTCCCATTTTGTTTTCTCCCCAGCCCTGTATCACTGCTGTAACCCAAAATGTAGAGGATAAATTCAAGTACATAGTAAGTGCTCAATGAATATTTCATTAAAAGAAAGAATGTCAGATTACTTCTAAAGAGAATGACTAAGGTCTAGGATTTTTCTCACCTTCTAAAATTATCACGGCAAAGTTCTCACACATTTTCACAGCTTCCTTTAAATGACTATTTTATTTCTTCTGCTTATCTGAAAACAGAGACAGCATTTTAACATCAATGGCATAAATGCGTGTACAAATTCTCCATGTATTTTCTTGGCTCATTTCAAGCTTTAGCTAATTTTTTTTTTTTTTTGAGCCTTTCACATGTGCACACATCAAAGTTACCAGGCTAAAGGAGTTACGCTGGATTTTACATGAATATTAAAATGAATTATTATGCCTGAAGTTTGGTTTTATTTAATTTGAAATTTGATGAAAAGAATTGTTTATCTTACATTAAATCTTTGAAGCTTTGCTCTAAGAATTACTTGCCTCCTGTGAGATCACAGGCTAAAACAAAATTGCTAAAATTCCTCTCTTGCAAAGCAGCATGATCTGACTTACTCTAGTAAATCAGACTTCGAACAGAGACTTACAACATACTGCAGTTATTTAGAAGCAGACTAAGACTTTTAAAAATAATATTTCAGTTTATAAGATAGAGAAACACACACAAATCATTTGGATTTAAGATACTTGGTAAAATCTGCCTAGCATTTTTCAATGTGTCCTATTTTAAGATGTTTTTCTGATTGACTTCAGGGATTTTTATCTATGCCTTTTCTCCTGACTTCATAGACTTCCCCAGTCTGTGTGATTTCTGGACTGCTGTCATCTCCCTGTACCACAATGTGAACATTACATGGCTCTAAAAATAATCAAGAGGATGAAACTCTTTTCTGATATTGATCTACCCACACTATCAGAGCATCTTACACTGCAACAGAATAGTTATCTAAAATGAGGAGCAAGTAATGTCACAAAAAAACAAGAAATGTCTCGGTATTATGGCATTCTTTCATAGGGCATAAATAGAGGAATATACCATATAAAATTAACAGAAGAGAGCGAGAGTGGAATCAAGTATAATGACAAAAAAACTCAAAACTCAACACACACATCAAAAAATTTTATTATTATATTTTAATTCTTATTTTAAATTTTTCTTATTTTTTGTGGTACTTGCATTTGCTAGGGAATGCACTCTACCAGCCATTTTTGCTTCTGTTTATTTTTCAGATAGAGAGTTGCTTTTGCCTTAGACTGTGATCCTCCTACCTATGCCTCTTGTGTACCTAGGATTATAGGTGTGAACCACTAAGCCTGACTTGTCCTTTGAGATGCAATCTTTCTTTTTTCCTGAGCTGACTTTGAACAATGATCTTCCCAATTTCTGCCTCTTGAGTAGCTGAGATTTGTGCCATGTACCATCATGCCTGGATTTATTTTTTAAATTTTCTTATAATGTTAAGATGCATTAATGTAGCCTGGGGAGGTTCTTATTTTTAATTAGTGTGTATTAATTGTACAAACAAATGGGTTTCATTATGACATTTCCACACAGGTATCTGTTGTACTTTGATCATATTCACCCCTCACTACACTTTTACCCTCCTCCCACATTCCCCTTTTCCCCTTCCACATACCTGATAGTCCCCTTTTAACATTCATGGCTTTTTATCCTCTAAATTCCACATATGAAAAAAAATGTATGATACTTGTCTTTGTAAAACAGGCCTATTTCACTTCATATTATGATCTCAAGTTCCATCTACTTTCCTGTAAATGGCATAATTTTGTCTTTGTGACTGAATGTGTATATATACCATCTTTTCTTTATCCATTCATCCATTTATTGCTGATCTGGTAACACAGCCATTCCAAATAGTGCTTCTATAAACATATGCCTGCAGTGTCTTTATAGCAAACTGACTTTGATTCTTCAAAGTATATACCCAGCAGCTGAATCATATGGTATTTCTATTTTTAGTTTCTGAGAACCCTCCATACTGATTTTCATTGTGGCTGAACCAATTTATATTCCAACAAACAGTGTGTAAGTTTTCCTTTTTCTACCCACATCTATACCAGCATTTGCTATTTCTTATTTTCTTGATGATAGACATTGTGGCTGGGGTGAGATGGAATCTCAATATAGTTTTGATGTGCATTTCCCTTGATGACTGAAGAAAGTCCAATATCCAATATCTTTTCATGTGTTTATTGGCCACTCGTACTTCTTCATTCATAAATTGTCTATTTGTTTCATTTGCCTATTTATTAACTAATCATTCTTTTGTTCTTTAATTTTTTGAGTTCTTTATATTTTCTGGGTATTAATTCTATGTCAAAGGGGTAGTTTGCAAATCTACCACTTTGTAGGCTGCCTCTTCACTCTGGTAATTGTTTGGTTTTTTTTTTAATGTGTAGAAGCTTTTTAATTTTATGCAATCTCATTTGTCAATTCTTACTTTTATTTTCTGGGAACTAGATTTTTATTCAGGAAATAATTACCCATGCCTATGTCTTCCAATGTTTCCCTATGTTTTCCTATAGTAGTTTCAAAGTCATGTCTTGCATTAAGGTATTTTGATCCATTTTGAGTTGATTTTTG